TTTGCTAATCTCCTTAGAAAAGATCTATCTTATTTAAACAATCTTTTCTAAAGAAGGTTTTACTATCTAAACTATAATTTAAAGATAATTAAATGATTCTTAATTTATTTAGTTAAGAGAATTCTCAATCGTTACTATAATAATAGTCTTTTGTAAGCTTTATCATATAAAATCTCTTATAATCTTATATCTTCTTATAGATATATTCAATCTATCTATTTTAAATTCTATCTACTATAAGATTCAAACGAAATCATTATATAGAGTAGATAGATTTAGAAGATAAACTAAAGCTACCTTTAATTGTTTATTTAATATCTCTTCCAAATAGTTAATCTAAACAGTATTATATTAATTTCCTTCTCTATTATCAGTTAATTCCTTCTTAAATTTTGATAAGAATATAGTAAAGCTCTTATTTTCTTACTATTTTAAATCTCTTAATCAATCGATTACTTAAGCTTATATATTTAAGTCTTTATAATATCTATAAAAATATTTTAGATACTGATTAGAATTATAAGCTTTATCTAAACCTTCTTTCTTAATAAAAGCTACTATCATATTCTATAGGAGTTTTCCTAACTTTAAATAAATATAAATAAACTAGTCTTAAATACTTTTAATAGCCATTTTATCTACCTTTAATTTATTCTTTATTTCTTTAAACTATACTTAGAAGATATTTTATATACCTTTGAATTTTAGTAAGTTAGAAAGAGTAGCTTTCTTCTTTCTTGATTTAGAGACTAAGCCTTCATTAGATAGTATACTTATAATACTTTCTATTTTAGTCTATCTTTCGACTTTTAATTGTCGAATTCTTTCTTTAAGCTAACTAATCAGCTTTGCTATTATATTCTATATAGTTCCTTCGATAGAAAATCCTTTTATATTATAGTTATTTATAATTTAATAAATATCTAGATATCGCCTTATTTATAGAGTTTGTACGATTATCTACTATCTAGCTCCTTTTATATAATCATTCTAACTAACTGACTAACTAACTAACTGACTGACTAACTAACTAACTAAAATACTACTTTATGATAAATAATAGCTTTATTTGAACCTACTATTATCTGACAAAAGTCATTAACATTCTTTCAATAATATAGCTTAAATAAATACCTATACTCTTATATCTAATCAGTATAAATTTATATAATTAAGTTTAAAAAAAAGTTAAATTATAAT